GAAAGTATTGTACCACATAACGATGACCAAATTTTCCATTCTCACAGATTCACCGAAACCGTTCGCTATTGATGACTACAAAATGAACACTAAATGACGCAGGGTCTTCAAACTTGAAACATATGCTTTATAGTTTGTGTGCTTTCTGATACAGTGATATTTTTCAAACATCTACCGCCATCTCTAGATCAGGCAGGTACTTTTGGGACCACCCTGGTACAGTCACTCACAGAAAACACCTTGAGGCATTACCCAAGAGACTGAACCTTTCGAAATCCTACTCTGTGAAGGAAAAGCTCTTTTATGTGGATGGTACAAGTGTTGTGAAGGCTAAAATCTGCTCGCATTACGAAAAGAGGTTGGACGCTGTATGATTGAATAAAAGTCTTAAACTCATTAGTTTTATTAGCCGTGGAGAGCAAAAGCCCATCACCAATACTGGAATATAATCAGCCTTTGAACAAAATTTCCTATAAAAAAAAAACAAAATAATAAGCTGCAAGAAGGCGAGGTAATAATGCCTTGTCTCGAAATCGAGTTTTTCTACTGGACTTCATCTAATTAGAAAAACCAAAGTCGCCAACAAACAAGATAAAAATATTTCCATGTCCGCAACCTGTCTAATTATAAGTTGAAAACTTTTCACTGTGAACATCACGTCAGTTAATAAATTATTCAGATACAAAGTTTTTACCCGCTTCCGGGTGCTACCGGCTTTTGATCATTTGCGACCAACTTTTTGTCATTAGTGGAAACAAGTTTTATGTATCCCCTGCGCGTTTCGATGACAATATACAATATCACATGACTGCTCTTCTATCAGGGCGGACTTTGGGGATGGGGACGTGAATAAATGCGAATAGGGTATGTTATAACGAATTTATGAAAGATTGATCCGCAGTCACTTTATCAACTGTTTTGAAATTTAGTTGAGAAATAATTTGGATTGTTCAGAATATTCAATACTGAAATGATTTTGGTAGATCTAATTATGTAACGATTACAAGCTTTTAGCAACAAGAGTATTAATTGTTCATTGGATCAGAACCATTTGTATATAATTTGTTTCTTGTTGAACGATTTTTATATTCTTCTGGACTTTTCTTGAGTTTTGATCCATGTCCATGAGTTTCTTACGCATTGAGACCCAATACCTCATATCCATATAAAACCATCTGTCTCTGTATCTAACCTGCAGCTAGGTTCTACCTTTTTTGTTCAGGTGCTCTATAAATTGACAGTATTCAGTCATTACTCTGGACTATCAACTCTAAGTTGAGTCAGTTTTCCAATTCTTCAACTCTCTTCTACGAAGTTTTCATTGGGCAAGTTTTCCTTTGTGTGTTCTCAGGTATAATTTCCCAGTATTCTTTAGGTTTCTTACTGACCCACTTCATTATTTGGTTCTGTACCAGTGACGTTCCTACTTTTGGTCTTGGGCCTCCATAAGCAGCTGATGATCTGATATTCTACTTATCTGCGATTTTTGAGTGTTTTAGCACTTTAGTATAGAGTCAATATAAGTTTCTGTCCGATATTTTTTTCGATTCGTCGCGGCCTGAGTGCGGTCTGGCTATCTTCTTAGGCCTCACATGCTGAAAAACACTCGAACTGTTGACAGTGGTATACGGCGATTGTAGTCTGAGTCAGGAAAATGTTAACAAGTGGTATAAGCTTCTCGCAGAAGGTCGAGAAGATGTGAATGACGACGCTCACCCTGGACGCTCCAGCACATCAACAACCGATGAAAATGTTGGGGAACTAAAAAAATTGTTATGAAAAATCGTCAAATCACTATAAGAGAAGTTGCTGAGGATGCTGAGTTCCTTCCAAAGTTGCTGAATTTTGACCTGCTCACACGTCATTGCTTGGTCGTAATTTTTTGACCAAAAACAGCACGGTAATCATGCCTTAGCCACCGTATTCACCTGATTTGGTCCCCTGCGACCCATAATTGAAGAGACCCATGAAAGAACAGCGTTTTGCAAGTGTGGTCTGGTGAAAATACTTTGAAGTGAACAAAATGGAAATTGATGAATAAATTCACCTTATTTTTTGAACAGACAGCATCTTAGCACCTTAGTGCTACCTCCGTCTTTCTTTCTATCCTTTACTGATGTTGTTTTTACGGGTACTGACATAATTCCTATAAATTTAAACAATCTCTGTTGATTGTACAGGGCTATTCAAATTCGTTTCTGTAGATGGGGATCTCGTAAACAATAAGAGATAGAGTGCCGGTTAAATTGTGGCAAAGTTGCGTATTTTAGAGACCTATTCAATGATGTGAAAAAATCGAATATAGCTCTTCTGGTTTTGGAGATATACAGGAAAAACCAAAAAATCCCAAATTATTTTTTGCCTATATCTTCTTTATTCGCAGATATATTGAAAATCTGTTCACATTTTGCTATTGACTCTTGATGTGGGCTATCAGGATGTGTTCATGAATTTTTTATATAGGTCGTCATCTGACTTGGGCCACCCCCATCTTTGAATTTTTAAATACGGACCTGTATTTTTTGTTGTAGTTTTTGGATCCTAGAAACTGAGAAATTGAATTTTATTTTATATTTCAGAATGTTTTGGTAATATTTGATTATAATTGGGTGAATTATTCCCTTTCAAATCACGGCCCTGTAAATTGGTTGACTAAGTTGAATAAAAACACAATAGCAACTTTCACGTCTCCCTATGTACCGTAGGTTTTTAGAGAGTTTTTCTTTTCATTTTTACGTATCTATTCATATTTTTTCATATTTCTATTGGCCTGAGCGTTTTCTACAATAAAATTCGAATGAGAAAACCTTTTATGATTATCTGAAACATATCTACAACAAAAATATATTACATAGGTCTCTAAAATACGTAACTTTACCACAATTTACCGACACTCTTATCGTTTACGAGATTCCCATGTAGAGAAACGAATTTGAATAGCCCTGTATATGCCCATACATGGATGTAAAACGTTGATTCATTATACTCCCATTATACTGTTAAAAAAAAATCTGTTTTTCCATTAATCAGCTGGGATACTTCCAATCGTCTTCTAACATTGTAGTGTATTCATATAACAATGCACCTGAAGGTGCTAAATTTAGAGGTACAGGGTGATAACATTTTAACAAAAAAAATGTTTACGGTAATTTCGGTATGAGATTAGATATTTTTGTGGAACGTAGTACCCACGTATCAAAAAGCATTTTTTGTTGTTCAATATAAGGAAAATTCATACATTTGCATATGGAGATTGAATAAACTGTGAATTTGTGAAATTGAAATGATAATAATTCTGAAAAAGGGGGTTGGTTGGGTAACAGGATCAATTTATTCTTAAAAAAACAACTGTATTCTTGCCGACGTTTCGAATGTAATTAAATTCTTCTTCAGGGCTCCGTAACAATGAATTTTCATGAATATACCTTCCACAAAACTTATTTCAATTTCACAAGTAATAATGAGTTCTCTTTAAAATACTCTTTTAAAAATCATCAGACATATTAGATACGTATTTGAAAAATCAAAATAAAATACACATTGCAAACAACAAATTTTCGAGACAACACCAACACAGAACGATATGAAACAAACGAATGGATTTATCTCTGATTCTGATAAGGTGGTGTCTGTTTTTTAATCAATGGCAGGAAGAAAAAGAATGAAAAAAGTGTAAATTATTCAGGTATTTTACGTATCAAATTAAAATATGCGGTATTGAGGCCATCGACATCTCTTCTAGTGTTAACACTATCGCATTTGAGGATATGTATCATTTAGCTCAAAAGTCTTTTTGATAAGTATGGTTGAACATCTAAAATAGTTGGATGATCAAAATCAAAAGTGTGTCCATATTTTTTCATGTTCAACGAGAGCTGTGGGATTTTCCATATTCAGTTTCTCAGAGTCTCTCATGTGTTCTGAAACTCGTGTTTTAAGATACCGTCCGGTTCGACCAACATAGCATTTATGACAGCTTCCACAGTTCAATTTGTATACAATATTGGATTGTATTTCCTATGGTGTTTTAGTTTTTTGTTTCGAGAAAAATGCTTTTCAACTGTATTTTCATTTGAAGAAGCCACTTTTATTTCTTCGGCATTGAGTAGCATTCCAAGTTTAACAGATACATTTTCTACAAATGGATTTTTTTAATATTTGGGTTTCACCCCTGTATTTTGGGAGGAGGATCTTCTTTCTTTAATTATTTTTCTAATAAAGGCTCTACGAAAATTATTTTTTACTAGGTAATTCTCAATTAATTGGAGATTTTTGTTATGGAATTCAGAATTGAAAATGGCAATTGCTCTTGATTTCCAATTCCTTATAATGTTGATTTTATTTTGAAAATTATGTTTTGAAAAATAATTTAAAAATATCTCAGAGAGAGTTGGTTTATCACGTATATCACGTGTATTTTTAATAAATAATTTATCATTTTCTCAACACTCCCATGTTGTTAATAATTTATTATCGAATCTTTTTTCCCACCATCTTTTTTCCCGCCAACCACACATACTTCCACAGTTGCCTTTGCATCGGCAGAAAATCAATTTCAGAAGTTCGGGGGGTGCTAGAGGCTTAGAAGTTTTATGCTTTTACCAATTTAAAAAAAAATCACTTCTTTTGTTTATTATTTTTTTATTTTTAATTTCACTATAAAAAGTAAAAAAACAAGGTTGTAGGGAATTCAATTTGCTACAAATGATGTTTTATAAAATTTGTTGTGGGGTTGCTACCCTTTTTAATCATTTTTCCAAAATGGTGGTCGGCGGACAAGGGTTGCGCCCCACAAAGTATAATTTCAGATCATACTAGTCCCCCTACACATAAAAAAATGAAATCGCGTTTTCTGACGCAACCCTAAAAGTAACTTTTCAATGGACTACATAAAATTCAGAAAGGAGCCTTGGTGTTACTCTGAATTTTACTCGCAGGTGTTGTAAGAAAGAAATTGGGAATAATATGAAATGCAAATATAACTTAAAATTAATACTCACCCAATAGATATCATATATCAGAAGTACAACTCAGTTCCGTTACATGTTTTCTTCCTGAAAGAGACAAAGTTTTCAATAAAAATTCATACAAGCTTCTAATAAATGTTATACACCAGTTTCAATGCTGGGAAATTTATAGACGTGGTTATAATTTAAGGAATATAAACCGACGTTTCCAGCCGGCACTTCGTCAATAACTCCAATAGCTCATTAAAGAGTGGGGGATTGATGGTCTCTGAACACCCAATTACAACTGAAGTAACAGCTTTGAAGTGAAGGCGATGACATCCATCCATTCGGAGATGCCACCTATGGGATCGACAGAGAACCCATCCTCGAATATCAAAGATGAACGAGTCTCCCCAATTGCAAAGTCAAGCTTCGACAACAATCGCAGCTTCCACTGTGTCGATTCACTAGGTCTCATCAATAGTGCTAGGCTGAATCACCGAACTATCCTAAAAAGGACAAGCCTGAAAGTAAAGGCTTATCCTTGCCTTTTTAGGACAATTCAGACGAACAAACAATGACATCTTTGAACTGGTGGTTTTACAGTTACTCGCTTGTTTTTGACTCAGATTAAACAGTAGTTATTTGAAATGATCGAGAAATTCCAAAACTGAACGGCCTTCAGACCTGAAAATAGTGACACTGAGTGATTATTGAATATTGTTACTATAAAAAAATTCTTGACTCACTATATACTGATGAGTTTAATCATTAGGTTCCATTGTCGAAAAGTAACAAGAATTTTTAAACACCTTGCGATGGACTCATACCAAAATTGCATTTTTTAGCATTCAAGCTAGGGAATCTTAGCAATATTCTCAGTTGAGATCAACTAAAACTGAAGTGGAATCGAGGTTGCGCTATGGTGTCAATTTCTGGTCAATTAACGCAGGTCTTTCCTTCAAATAAACATCATCAGAAGTATCACTGGTATGAGTTACATAGAGTACTGTAAACATTTTTTCAGGAAATTAAAAATACTGACATACTGACTTTACCTTGCTTGCACATAATGGAAACTTGTGTCTACGTTTTTCAAAATAAGAGTCGATTTCCTTCAATAGGCTCTACTCATACAATTAACACTAGGCAAAAGAATATATCAAGTTCCGCTAGCTCGAGGGTGGATTAGTGTCAAAGGTCCTACTGTTGCAGGTCCTCGTTCTATAAATATTTTACCAACTGAAATATAAGAAAGCAAAACATTTATATGAAATTGTCAAAATGAAAAATTAGAGATTCGATTTGATTTGAGACTGAACCACTGAACTGTGTTCTAGAGAGGATAATCCTGAAAGTAAAGGGTAGTACTGTTTAGGACAAACCTAAATAGATGCGTTCTCTTCAAAAATAGGGTATTGTTTAACAACTTGGACGAGCCAATGTATCAAACCAGGCAAAGATTCAGTTTTAAATTACTGCTGCCTTCTTCGACCCTACTTAAAGATTCCATTATTTACAAGGGTCTCAAAATGTTCAATTACCTTCCTCAAGCTATGAGAACCATAAATGACCTTAGAGCTCTTAAGAAAGAGTTGAAAAACTTGCTTTCTGTGAGACCTTATTATAGCTACGCAGAATTCTACGATGATAATTTTAATTGAGAAGAGTAACTGTAATATCTACGGTATTTTATTGATTTGATTCAATTTAGTTTAAACTGATTTATTTAATTTTATTGACCATGTTCTTATATCCTAAACATTTGTTTTAGGTTATTATTATTTACATGTCTCTTTTCAGTTCATGTTATCACTTACTTTCAGTGATTTTACTTTTGTGATACTTTTGTGATTTATATGTTATGTTATTTATATTTCGCACAAGGATTTGTCAATGAGAATTCATTCTTCAGACAAAAAAGTATATTTGAATTTAATTGGAATAGATTTGTTGTCACTCGGTATAATAGTTTAGAATATTTTAAAAAAGATCCGAAACAAAGTTCACGAATTATCAATAAACTTATCAAAACTATACCTATTTTTGCGTTAGGCAGCACCATAACCACAATTCGACCCGGCATGTTCGTCCATAAATAGCATTTAGTAATATGTCTATATCCAACAAAAGCACATTGAACATTTCACAAAGAATAATTTATGTACAAATAATTATTTCAGTTTGCGTTTCGAATATTACTAAAAAATATGATGGCAATATACTTGAGAGTTTCAACAATTCGAAAAACTGACTGCTAATGGTATTCGTATTTATTAGAATGATTGATGACCTGAAATCACGAAACCAATGTTACCAAGAAATATCTGAAAGTTGAGTTCTACTGCAAGAAAAGAGACGAAAGATATAGGAAATTACCATGCCGAAAATATTAAATATGGATGTCGATGAAATCACAGACCACCGCTGACTTGGTGAGACGTGCCTAGTACTGAGTATTTAGGGGTTAACTCGTCTGATTTTGAAGTTGTCTTGTCGATGAAAGAGCGAAATACATCCGAAACAATTTTCTATTAGAGGAGACACACGTAACTGAACTAACTGAGGCAAGTGGGTAGTTTTCGGCAGATATTTGACAGATCATACCGCCTATAGTCTAATCAACAAGTTCAAAAACATGAAAAATAGAGATAAAGGTCCTAAAAATATGAGCCATAGCTCATTCGATTCGGAATCACCTCTAAAAAAATATTTTTGAAGGATTCTGGTGCAGGTAAAAAATTGCAATTGTTATTAACAAAATAAGATTTAAAAAATGGTATTTAGTTTATCGTTAATAACTCAAAAAATATTAATATTTAAGCAATTTTGAAAAAAGTTCGATGAAGAGGAGGAAATTTCCGATAAAAAAGTTCCGACTCCATTATTTATAATTTTAATTTGACGTTGAAAATAGGGTTCCGTGCGGCTGTTACGGCATGCGCGCGCTGCCGCTAAAGAGAGTTTATCAAAAGAAATAAATGTTAACTAACAAATTTTTTCCCAATCTCCGTTGGCATAAATGATGGGATAAAAGGTATAAATAATAATTGGCCTATAAATTTTAAACTTCGTGGGGCCCTTTTGATATTTATACTTCATACGATCCTGCGATAAAAGTTCATAAAAATTTAATGATTTGTTAATTATGATTTTTATGACTCTTGCAAAATGAAATATCTAAAAATTGTTGATACATTTTTTTTTTCAATTGATACTTAGCTATGTCTGTTTCCACATTGAACAATGGCAGTTATTAACATACCTAAGATATGAATTTTTTACATAATTTATTTATTAAATTGTTTTGAACAAATAGAGAAATTCACACGAAGTTTAAAATTTATAGGCCAATTATTTATACCGTTTATCCCATTATGTATGCCAACGGAGATTGGTAAAAAATTTTTTAGTTAACAATTAAGTTTTTGAAAAATGGTGATAAAACTTTTTTTTCTACAGGACTCGATTCATTCAAGTGTTAAAAAGATACTAGATTTTTTTCAAATTTTTAAAATGACATTTTACGTTATAAAAAAATTATTTCTTTTTATAAACTCTCTTTAGCGGCAGTGTGCGCGTGCCGTAACAGCCGCGCGGAACCCTATTTTCAACGTCAAATTAAAATTATAAATAATGGAGATAGAGTATCGGGAGTCGGGACTTTTTTATCGGAAATTTCCTCCTCTTTAACAACCTTTTTTCAAAATTGCTTAAATATTAATATTTTTTTAGTTATTAACGAAAAACTAAATATCATTCCGAATCGAATGAGCTATCGCTCATAATTTTAGGACTTTTATCTCTATTTTTCATGTTTTTGAACTTGTTGATTAGTCTACTAGGAACGTAGGAAATGGTGAGTGCGTCAAATTTTCATTTCGATATTTATTTTCTTAATATGCAACCAGCTTGCACCAATGTTGTGTAGGCTCCTCATAATAATAAATGTAATAATGATAATGATAATATGCGCAATTCGATAACCCCGGATTACGTTTGAAGAACCCTTGTGGGTTCCAAGAACTTTGCTGCTCCAGGTCCAGATGGAATGACCCCTAATTAGCGGAAAAAACTACCAAGCACTCACCGCCATCTGACCAGAGTTTTTAAGTCATGGCTGGACGGAGAGCAGCCGATTATGGATTGGCTTGTAGAGAGGAGGACCGTTCTCATCCTCAAAAGCGAAGTTTTGTCGATTCCTTAGAATTACAGACCAATAACATGCTTTAATTCGTATTATAAGTTGTTTACTAGCATCTTATACACACGAATATTAACCGCAGTTGACCGAGTGTTCGAACAGATATATGAGCAGAGAGGGTCGAAGAGGGAAGTCGCTGGATGTCGCTGGATGTAAAAAGAATCTGCTCATTGAGAGATGTGTAACGCAGGACTCGCAAGTTTGCGGTACCGTACAAAATAGTGAGATGCCTACAACTATGCCGGACTCACTTCACACCATAACATTTGGTGTATTTCAGGGCGATTTCCTCAGTCCCCTTCTCTTCTGCATCTCACTATTGCCATTATCCGTTGCGCTCAGAAACACTCGAAGGTATAACTGTGGGACCCCCGGGAACCGGGCGCACAAGGTCATCCATTTGTTTTATATAGATGATTTTGAACTTTATTTTTCCGGGGAATAGGATCTTCATCAGTCTTTGAGAGTGGTAGAGTACACGCATGTTATCGGTACAAAATTCGGGATAGACAAATGTGGAATAGTCCATCTCGAAAGAGGACGATGAGGGGATTACAGGGAGGATATGCAGCCCGTAGATGGAAGCATCTGGACGCCGATGAGACGTACATTTACCTCGGGGTGGAACAACGAAAAATGATGCATTTCCATAGGAGTTTGCACCCCAAATCGTCTGTTCGACAGTTGTACTTTTCCCGACAAGAGTGAGGCCGTGGACTTTTGAGTTCGGAGTGTCTACATTGCAGAAAGGTACTGGATGGAGCCTGTAAAGTTCGGATCATCTTCTTGGCATGGTCCGCAACCATGAGAGAGCAGGAATTGGATCATTTCTCTTTAGGACAGCTGCCTGATCAGCTGATGCACACGTTTTAGTTTTCGACACTGAACAAGGTGCAAGCCC